CCGGCGAAGATTACCGTAGAGCACCCGGCAGCCAAATCGATGATCGAAATTGCTAGAACTCAAGATGAGGAAGTCGGTGATGGCACAACTTCTGTCATAATACTTGGTGGGTTTTTCGTTTCTTAGACATATTTTCCAGGTGGAGAAATGCTCGCTGTCGCCGCGCCTTGTTTGGAAAAGCAAATTCATCCTACCAAAATAATATCTGCTTTCCGTAAGGGCTTGGATGACATGCTAACGGCCTTGCGAGATAATCTAAGGTTAGGACCATAACCCCATTTTTTTAAGTTTTTAGTGTCCCAGTTGATGCGTCTAACCGAGAAGAGATGTTCAAAATCATTAAAAGCTGCGTCGGGACCAAATTCATTAATCAATGGTAATTACAGTATTATGAAAAGCGTTCTATGTTCAAAATGTCTAGGGCTGAGCTAGCTTGTCAGATAGCCTTGGACGCTGTAAAGACTGTTGCCGTTGAAGTTGATGGACACAAAGAAATCGATATCAAGCGTTACGCCAAAGTTGAGAAGGTAAAGCTTTATTTTTGTTGTTTAAAATCCGAATCAGATTCCAGGAGGGTCCATCGAAGATTCCGTTGTTATGGATGGTGTCATGTTTAACAAAGATGTCGTACATCCAAGAATGTCAAGACGAATTGAAAATCCTCGCATTTTATTGCTTGATTGCAACTTAGAATATAAGAAAGGCGAGAGTCAAACCTCTATCGAAATAACTTCCGACAAAGATTTCACGTAAGACATTGTTTACAAACACATAAGTCCACAGGAAAGCCTTAGAGATTGAGGAAAATTACATCAAGGAAATATGTGACAATATCATCAAACACAGCCCTAACGTCGTTATAACTGAGAAAGGCGTTAGTGACTTGGCCCAACATTTCCTTTCGAAAGCTGGGATCTCAGTGATAAGACGCTTGCGCAAAACGGATAACTTCCGCATCGCAAGAGCCACTGGTGCCACGATCGTCAGCCGACCCGAAGAAATTAAGGAAGAAGACATTGGTCTAGGAGCCGGTCTGTTCGAAGTAAAAACAATCGGTGATGAATATTTCACATTTATCACTAAGTGCAAAGTAGGTCATTCAATTTAATCTAACTGTATTTTTAGAACCCCAAAGCTTGCACAATTTTATTGAGGGGAGCCAGCAAAGATGTGCTTAACGAGGTCGAGCGCAACCTTCAAGATGCTATGAATGTCGCACGCAATGTCATGCTGGAGCAGCGACTTGTTCCAGGCGGAGGCGCTATCGAAATGGCTTTGGGTCGTGTTCTAACCGAAAAGGCTAAATCCGCCGTATCTGGAGTACAACAAATTGCTTACCTAGCCATGGCACAAGCACTTGAAGTGATTCCGAGGACTTTAGCTCAGAATTGTGGCGCTAACGTATTACGACTTATAACGGAACTTCGTGCAAGACATGCCGTTGATCCCACGAAGTACTGGACTCTTGGCGTTGATGGAACCACCGGGAAACTTGTGGATATGAAACAGTTGGATATATGGGATCCCCTGGTTGTCAAGGCTCAAACATTTAAAACCGCGGTTGAGGTAAATCGATCTTTTATCCCTTGAATATTTCTTTCAGACGGCAATTCTTTTACTTCGTATCGACGACGTCGTATCTGGTGTCAAGAAGCAATCAGGAGAAGGCGCTGGGTCCGCAGCACCTGCTGCTGAATGAAGTTTTATCTCTTAGTGGTATTTCGTTCATTGTCTGGATAAACGTACTTGATCAACCCACTGCGTTCTCTTGACAACTACCTCATTTTCCCACTTGAAACCAACCATCTCAAATGACCTTTTCCTTTCGAGTATTATTTAGGGTACCATAGTGTAAGCACTCAGTTCTTCACCGAAAATCGCGCCGAGCTCGGGAAGCTGCATTTTTTCATTATTTACCTGGAATAGAAGACGAATATCGATCAGTCAGTTGCTATCATCGAAATACTGAGGCGTTCTCCATAGCTGAGAAGCTTGCCGCATGAAGTATGAATATCGTATTGTTGTTGTTCTTATTTCGTGTTGTATTCGAGCTTTATCGAGTTATATACGAGCTTTCAGCTTGGATCAGCAATACATATCGATATTGTTCTTGGTTCGTAAAAATAACTGGGTAGATTTTGCTTGTTGCTACATCCAAAGTTCTTGCTGGAATGGGTCGCGTTAGAACACATTCGACGACGCAGATGTCCTAAAAGTATGTTTCTCGAGGTTTCAGGGTATCGGGTCGGGTTAACGTAAATCGAGAGTTATATCTCCAAGCACAGACAAAAACTAA